CTGGCTAAATTAAATTGGTTAAATTAAATTATCGAGAAAAATCATGTTTCATTCCTGAACTATATCCCTAAATGCGAATGAAAAAAAGCAATGTATTTTAATATTATATATATAGATATATCTATATATATATATATTTGCAATATTAATTTAATCGAATATCTCGTGTATGCTCATGTATACCCATGTATACTTATGTGACACAGAATTCACATTCATTGGTTATTATAGTAAATGGATACCGAAAATATGTTCTTACTCGTGAAAAGACCAAGCATACAGTAATAATTATTGAAATGAAGTACAAATAAGTAAATGTTACCATGTGATATGGTCTGTGCTTGATCCTCGTGATTGATTTTCCATAACCAAAGATAGTTAATACGATAAAATTTTATTTAACTAGATTTGAATTAAGAAAGAAGTTTTTTTGGCCAAGAAGACCATGATCTTTAGTTAAAGAACCAATCAAAAGAACGTGTTACAAGTATCATAATTTTTTTATCTCGGGCCTCGGGCATAATTTCTTTCTTTGGCGGAATGATCCATTAATTTTGGAATTCGATTGCTTTTTTTTTTTAGTAAAGAACTTGGAAATCACAATGGTTTAATAAGGATGTTTTGACATTTTTTGACTTTCCAAGGCGCATTGTCAATAATTTCAATAATTGTTAGTAACTACTAATTCGTTTGTTTTAAAACTTTCGGCTATGCATTTTTTACTTGGAGGAAGAAGAAATTGATCTTAAAATGTCTCTTACGAAAACTTTTAAAGTTTACCTGACTTCTTTATGCAATATCTCCTCGAATCAGATAAATCTTTTTGCTGGCTAGCCACATTTGAATTGTACTTTTAATTTTTTATAATTTTTTTATACTTGTTTATATTTGTAAATTATTCTGTCTAGTTGCAAACTTTTCCATTAGTATGTGAGTATGTGATATTTTATAATATCACAAATGATTTGAGTAATCACTCGTATTCCGTAATCAACATGCTGAAGATCAATTCTTTTGGAATATCAAAGTTGAATTTAAAGTACTTTATCATCATCATATGACGAGTCATGATCCGTTCATATATAAGTTGATTGAATTTGCACTTGTCTTTCCCTGCACTCGAAACTCTAATCGAAAAAAAAATCTTATGTTTGCTTGTGCATTATAAATATTATAAATTACGAATACATCTCAATTAAAAAGTTATTTCCATCTCCGTTGGAATCTTGCAAATATATTATTCACTAAGAAAAAAAAAATTTTTTTTAAAATAAACGTTAACAGTAATAATCATAATTATAATTATAATTATAATAATAACCAAATTCTAAATATAAACAACAACAACAACAAAAAAAAAATCTAATACATGAAGATGACCGAAAAATTATCATACAATCATAACCTAGGATTAGATATGGGTTCTGAACCTAATCTTGCTTCTCAACAAGAATGGATTTTTATTGACGAATCAGACATTATTACATCACCAGCACAGTCCCTTCGCCCACTCATTCCAGACCAGAATTTGCATATTAGTGTTCCTTTTCCTCCAGAAATAAATCCCGGTGATCTTATACGCAGAAATAAGAACGGTGAATTATTATCAAGAGCAACAAACAAATTCTTGATCTATCGCAATGAATATGCTAAAGAACTTCAAGCACGTGGTTTTAAGCTCTCCATGAGAGAAGTATCACGTATGGCTGCTCAATCTTGGAAAAAAGAACCACAACATGTTAAACGTAAATATGAAGATATTGCAAGAGAAGTGGAAAAACTTCATGTGCAGTTATCCATGTCTTCTTCCCCTGGTTGGGATAGACGAAGAGGTTGTTTTACCCAAAATCCAAATGAGATACAACCTAATCATAAATATCAACGTGATCATTGTAGTATTTTACCCTCTGTAACTGTTCCTTCTTCATATGTACCATATCATTATATTCCATCGATCTCTATGCCAACTGTGCCATCACAAAACTCATACCCTTCAATACAACCTGTGGATTGTAGGCAATCTTACTACTTTTTAGATCAAGCATGTGGAAATCCTCAAATGGACTATATTCAATATGGTGATTTATCAAATCCAAATCTTGATATTAATTTCAACAATTCCCTCGAAAGTTCTCCTGAATCTTATAATTGTGAATTACCAGTACCAGTACAAGGAATATTGGAACACCTTGGCACCCTTAATTCCTTTGTCTAATGGTTTATTCTTTCTTCAGTGGCGTTTCGTAACACAGAAGAAATTGGCTCAAAAGATTTCTATTTCATTATATCCATCTTTAAATTCTTCTGTGGCCAAACGGACACTTGCATCTTTACGGTTTATTCTTTTAACCATATAGACAAATCCAATTTATGATTTAAATAGTATATAATTATAATATTAATATTAATAATAATAATGTGAGGTGACAAAACGTATAGGTATTATAGCACACATGTTTAAGGGCGGATCAAAATGAAATTAGATCGGCTTTTTGCAGTTATTTTACTTTTTATATAGCTTAAAAATTTTTTGGGTATGTAAGATTCGCTTTCTTTGAAGAGTATCATTCATTCATTCATTCATTCATTTAATGTAGACTTTCAATGTTTTTTTTTTTCTTCTTTACTTTTGAAATAATGTTTATGTAAATTAATTCTTAATAATGTCATATGGATTCATATGTAAATATAAATTTTTTAAGTTCATATGTTTGGTCAAATCAAATATTCGTTACGATAAAAAAATTAAGTTGTCTGTCACGTGATCAGTGAAAATTTTACAGTTATTGAAAACATTAATATAATAGCCTTCTTTTTTTCTTTTTTTTTTTTTTTTTTGACAGTAAATTCCAAAATAATCCAAAAAGGCACAAATATGAAATAATAAGATGCGAAAGCGATTGTATAAGTTTATATTCATTTTTCCTTTAGGAGCGAACAAAATTCCTTTAGGAGCAAACAAAAGGAACTACGACCGGAACGAAGACCTATCCATATTTGAAGGTACCTGGTTTCGATCGACCGGGACACAAAATGGTATCCACGAAAAGAGTGTTCCCAGAATACCTCGAAATTCGCAGTATATAAAATATAGGTGGGCATGATTATATTTGCACGTGACCATATTGTGTCCGCTCACCTATATTACAACTGTAAATATATTGTAAATATACTACAAATATACTAAATATATACTGTAACTACTACAAATATACTGCATTCATCCATCTTCTTATCTTCAAGCTTTGCATACAAACTTACATTGAATTATCCTGATTGGCTGAAAATAATATTAACATGATGCTCAAAAATGAATTTTAGATTCGTATTGTTTCTTTATTTGGACTATTTTATGCAATCTACGATAATCATTTCATGCATTTAGTAATGATTGGTTGTCGGAATTCATCATTATTGAATACGCCAACCAATAAGGATAATCCAATATCAGATATCGATAGTATATTTGTTAGTATATTTGTTAGAGATAGCATAAAAAAACAAAGAAAAAAACATTACAAAAGTAGATAAAAGTAGATAAAAGTAGATAAAATTAGATAAAAGTAGGTAAAATTAGATAAATTAGATGGTTTTTTCCTATTGTCCTTAAGATTGCCTTAAGTTGCCATTCCTCAAGTTATCACGAGATATCCATGCTCAAAGGTCAATTATGCTGAAATCGTATGATGTCAATGTGATCGAACAATACCTTGTTTCGTTATTAAAGTCTAACTATAATCAATTCTCATGCATCTTGCGTCGCTCATTTACTGGTACCATAACCTTTTGACTTATTTGTATGCTAAAGAAAATCACCTACGAAAGAACCAATTCGCATGAATGGCTTAAATGACCGAAAATCGATTATATATTTACCTGAAACGTGTCACTGATGAGTCTGATGAAATATAATTTAATAATAATTTTTTTTTTTTTTTGTTTCATGCATAATCTTTTAACATGTAATTCGATTTTTCCAGAACCTTTACCATCTCATGATAACCATCTGATTTCGGCGCTATCGGAATATTACCAAAAAAGGTCTTCCTTTTATTCAAAAGGGGATGTGTTAAAAGCCGAATAATTTTTAAATCGATTAAATTGATTATTAATAATATATTAAAAATCAGGTGATCTATATATATTACTTCCCAGTGTTAGCGCATCCCTTAGGTAATCTTATTATTCATTATACACGTGATCTTACACGTTCTCTTTACTAGTTACGTTATTCATTCAGAATTCCCTATTGATTTTGTCAAACAAAGATTATACGTATTACATTATTATATATATATATATAATATGAATGATATTTCTGTAAATCCTATTTTTTTACGTGAATCATAAGATGTTCACTATATAGTCAGGAATCAGATTGTGCCTGAATAATGCACGATCTCTATTATTGCTCGACTTTTATAACTTAACCCCTTGTATCTTGTAACCGAAATCGGAAACCGATTTTGATATATATATTTGCAGGAATAGTTATAAAGGTTAGATAATATTGGCTGAATGATATTCCCCCCAAGTCAAGTAATATGATTAGCCCATTGATTATGCACATTGTCTAATACTAGAGGGACAAACTTACCTGGAGAACTTACGTATTTACAGTAAAGTGGTGGTATTTTTATAAAATAAGCTTTTAAGAAAGTTATCTATCTAACCAACGTAGTTGGTTGTTCATTACTACATTAGGTTTCAAAATTGCTTTAACGTTAACGTTAATATAAAGTTATTGATGTTGTTTCGTTTAGTTATTTTTGTTGTTATTATTTTAGAAATTAAAAATCGTACAGTAGATAATCTTGTGATATGAGTGCCGCCAAGGAAAAACCTGACTTCGGACTTTCATTTATATTTTGTGTACAGTTAACCATCTATCATTATGATAGACGGCTAACTGCACACAAAATTTAATTGAAAGTCCGAAGTTTTCCCTTGGCAGCATTCATAGACAATATAATTGATAAAATTAAAAAAAAATAATTTATTAAAATCGATTTACGTACAGTACGTATATAAAAGATTTTTATCAATCTTAATTAATCATGGATAAATTTATACGTAAAAGTGATTCAAAAAATAAATAATTAAAACTTGATATCTTATCACATTGTTTTTTTAGCATGTAATGTACTATATATATTATAAAAATTATAAAGTGTGATTTATTTCAGTAAAAATAGAAGCCAACAAGTTGAATTGCAAAATATATTGATATATAGTAAATGTAACTTGATAAAAATAGATACAAATTATATAGAAAGTTATAAAAATTGTACGTGCATAAAAAGTTTGCTCCTGATTTTTTTTGTCGATTATTCAGTCTAGATATATGAGTGTCGCTAAAAGAAAACCTGAAAATTTAAATATGACTTATATTTAAATTTTCGGGTTTTCTTTTAGCGACACTCGTTTCTAGTAATATTCTACGAACTCTAATGTGAAAAATACCAAAAATTATTCCACGTAATACCATAGTCATGGTGAAAAAAAAAGCGAAAATACTCAAAAATTAATGTTTAAACTAACCTTCATGCCCTAATAAAAAGTGTCGGAACAAATTTTACATACAGTATGGGATAGCAAAAGATATCCACATTTTGAAAAAGCATCAAATTTAGCTAAGGACAATATAAAACATCTTTTTTATATGTAAAAATACTAAGAAACCATAATAGATCATAGGGTATGACATTTAAATTTTTTACCCACTACCGGTAGTCTCATCACTAATGATTGTGATTATTTTCGCAAGAGAAAACAGATCAAAAATTGGAGGAAAGAATGAGTAATTTCAGCGTTAAAATCGAGGGCACTCTCACATAGCGACCTGAGTTTAACATAATCGTATCGCTCTAACTATAAATTATTGCTATTTTGCATTCCTTACTTGCATTCCTTACTTGCATTCCTTATTTGTATCTTTTTATTTGTATTTTCTATTACACTTACGTACAAAAATAAAAGTTAAACCTCTTATATAAATAATTCGGATAAACAAATTTCATTTCAAATTTGTGAGCATAAATTCCACCTAATGTCGTTCTACGTATATTGGTATTATTTCTGTTTATCGATTTAAATTTCTAATTTCTGAATGAACCTTATACTGTAACAAGCAGATCGATTTCCCTTATAATGAGCTTGGATATAGCTTTTATCGATATGAAAAGTGAGAGTTGTCCAATAAATTTTTTAGAAACACTCATTTTTTATTGTATGCAAAATTTAAGAATGTAGTTTTGGACAAATTTGCCCTTTACAATATTTTGTATTACTAATTATTTTCATTTCATGAGAAGAAAAAAAAAAACTAAATAGTAAATCCCTCCTAAAAAAAGGCAAAATAAAACGAAAAGATTATGAGGTCGGAAAATCATGTTACGCTGCCCTCAATTAGTGGTAATTCCAGGACTTTAAAATTATGTTACATTATTTTTAATGTACTAAATTGATTTACCAAATACTTAAAATTTATAATACAAAAAAAGAAAACATACTGAAAGATAAAAAAGTTCGATCTATAGTGTAAATGGGCACCAAGCGAAATATCCAAAAACTTACTACAATATTTAGGAATGTTTAATCCCTAATATTCAAAAACTGCCGATTCATAACGTATTATACTGGCCCAACCATAATATTTAAGAATAGATAATCCATAGATTTTTTGAAAAAGTAACAATGAAAATGATCAAAAAATTTCAACATAAATTGTTTTACGTGTTTAGTATTCAGGCATAAGCTTAATTGCAAAACTACATGTATTGTTTTCTAATCTATGAATAATACATAGATTGAAGAATGGCGCATTTATTATGCTAACCTCAGTTAAAAGATTTTTTAAAAAAAACTATAAAATTGTTTTTGATTGGTTATTATCAATTGACCTGCATGACAAACTTTGACCGTCAATTAAATTGATATCCTGCTTTAGCGAACCTCCAAAAAAAACTTTTCATTGCCATCAGGAAATTATTATATCAATTTGATAGCATAATTCAACTGATAATTATTTAGCGCTAATAATTATTCAGCAGTTACAAAATTACATCTTGAGTAAATAGTTCCTTTAATTGGTAACAGATATTATTCTTGTGCATTTATCATTCATCAATAAAAATCGTACTGGATTCGTAAAATTCGATAACCTTTTGATAATAATTAAATTTATTTAGCGTTAGTGTAACTGATATTTTAAAGAGTTAGAACATATTAGTTACCTTTTGAGGACAACGGCAATAAGCGTCATCGGCCCAGTGGACTGTTTCCTGCCCGTTGATCCTAAAAAAAAAAAAAAAATCATACATTTAAACAATAACTTAAATGAAATAACTAGAAATGAAATAACTAGAGGTTATAAAGAATGCAAATACCATCGCAAAACAATAAACAATCTTTCACATTTATAATCTTTTAGGATGTATACAACACGTTCCAAATATGGATCCCAATTATTACATTCCACTTCAATGTCCATTTCTTCTTCATCATCATACCAAAATTCTGAATCATCTGATGTTTTTTCAAATCGACACCCATTATCACTTGTTTCCCAGCTAGAATTGTCTTTTGGTCCTATTTTCAAACGTCGAAAATCGACCAAGAATCGACCATCAACTCGTACGTAAGGGAGGTCCAATGATAGTAATGTAATAACGGAATCTATTTGTAAATTATTGACCTCGTCTTCTCTGCTATCAAAACTTTCCTTCCCATTACTGATCTCTATACCGTCGGCTACAGATTCATGTCGGTCTACTGCTTTTCCTTTTATGTCTACTCTTCTTTGTCTCACCTCAAATATATCATCCCCTTCGTCACTCTCACTTTGAGACGATTTATATGTATTGACCGTCGACAGTTCATTCATAGCAATATTCTAACCATTAAATTTGAGTACATAACAAATTTTTTTTTTTAAAAAAAAAAAAAAAAATAGGTATATTATTATGATTATTATTTTAATAAAAAAAAAAAAATGCCACGTTTTAACAAGTATGTATATACCCAAATACGTATATTCAAAAATGAGAAGATTTAATGACAAATGTAAAATATTCACGCTTATATTTTCTGAACTTTTTAATAAATCTATGTATAAAGTTTATATTAACTTTACTATGATTTATAAAGATACTTTAACGTTAATAATTGTTAATTAACGGTAATATGATGATGTATGGTTTTTAATTTAGATTAACAATTGTGTGATGTAAGGGTATACGCGAATGAATCACGATTTCATTATCGTTATAAAAAAAAACTATTTTAATCTTTAAATCGCGTTTACTACTAGTAATACTCATTATTAATCATATAGGAAAATTAAATAGAAACCATGCAAACTCTAAACTTTAAACTATAACTGTTCAGTTTTGATGATTTAAAATTTTAACTTTCTTAAGTCTGTAGAATTTAAATTGTCAGTTAGGAACGACTTTCTCATAGGAGAAAGTTTCCGTACACATGATGTTCGGTTACTTGTCATTTTTCCTAAACATCATAATAGTTATATCCTGGGCAATTGGGTATAAATGGAATTTTACATTAAGTAAACTCTGCCGCGTAACGATTAGTAAAAACTCAAACGCCAGATTTTAAGTTCTTGATAATAAACCTAAATCAGGATTAGTTGAAATTTTGTAGAATAAACTTATCAGTTCCAGCCTATATACGTATAATCATCCTAAACTGCAGAATAATAATACGCTTTTTAAGAGTTTCATCCTATGATTTCGAGTTACATTAAAGTTTATTACGTAGTTTAGGATTCAACCAAAGTTAAAGTTTAGAATTACTATTAGACGATTTTCATTATATCACATCGATATATTTTCTTAGAGTTTACCAACTAAAAATTTATAGTTCATAAGTTAATATATTCAAGCTTTTTTAAACGCAACTCAATGGGAGACAATTTAATATTCCTCAAAGACTTGAAAAAAAACAAAATTGTATTTTAGAATATGAACTTTATATACAAATTTATGAGAAAAATGGTACTAAAAAAAAAAAACCGAAACATGATCGTGATGCAAATATGCATTGTTAAAAAGGGTGAATAATTGGATTCGATAATAAAACATATTTTTTGAAATACTGTATAGTATAACCACTATGCATAAACAAGTGGGAGATAATGAAAATCTTTTTTTTTTACAAAAAGCATAATATAAAAGAAGTAATGAGTTTTAATTGTACGAATTCACTTAAGTATGCAAACCATTCTATAAAAGAACATACTTTTTTTGAAACAAAAAACAAATTTGATAAAATTGATGGTAGACATAACAAAGGTTTTTTTTTTCCTTTTTTTTTTTTTTTGATATTTTCACTGACGTTAACTAACGTTAACTATGTTAACTAGTGTTAACTTATGTTAACGATGTTAACTAATGTTAACTAATGTTAACGATGTTAACTGCGTTAATTCACGCTGTATAAAAGGTTCACCCATCACAAAATATAAAGTTCTTAAGAAACAAATATATATATATATACATATCTTATTTTTTTTTTTAATAAATTTCAAATAAAGAAATTCATATATTATTTGGAGATCGATGATTTAGTGCTGTTATTGGATAGAGTTCCACTGGAAAAACTTTTTCTATGTTGTTTTCCTGAATTTTGAGTTGTCAAACTATTTACCTATATTCACAAAAAAATTTAAAATTAGCTAATATAGTGCATTTCTATACTAAACTAATAAATAAATAAATCAATAAATAAATAAATGAATGAATAAATGAATGAATGAATGAATAAATGAATGAATGAATGAATGAATGAATCATTCGATCTATCTCCAAAAAAAAAAAAAAAAAAAAAAAGGAAGAAAAAAAAACAAGTGCGTATATATTAGATATTAGATATAACATACAATAGCGGGATTCCTAATTTCATATAAAAATCCTCTTTGGCTATTATTACTATCTTTCAAACCAAATCTTTGTTCATTTCTAATACTTCTGATAGCTGGATACCAACGATTCATTTCTTTTTTATGTTGTCGTTCCGAAGCCACCAAAGCAGCCAAAAAACCTTTTGACACATCAAATTCGGAACCAACTTGAAATTCATTATTATCATCAAATCCATCACCATTATTATCATTTGTTTGTTTATTTCCATTTCCATTTCCACCTGTTGGAATGATTCGACGACGTCTTCTTCCTTCAGCACTATATACTATTTCATTATGATCACCATCACTAAATACTAATGATGCAGAAGCTAATCTATCCAATAGTTCATCATTTTCACCATTATTCATTCCAAATGTTTCACCACAAGTTGTATGATATTTAAATTTATTTGATTCATCAGGATCATCAGTTTCTTTAGAATTCTCGAGCTCAATTTCTTCTTCATCATCAAATAAAGCTAATAATTCTTCTTCTTCAGAAGACATAGAATTATTATTGTCTTTTGCTGAAGAATGAAACCAGCACATTTTTTCAGGATCAAAAATCATTTTACCAACGACTTGTAATGATTTTGTGTTGGTTGATTGAGGATTCATGTTTGATATTAAGGCAGGTCGTTGTGGAGATGGATCAAAATCTTTGAGAATTGATTCATTACCATCCCATCTTTGTAAAACTGGGTTATATACCATCTCGCCAATTACTATTATTTTTATTAGGAAAAAATTATTAGCTATTATTAGCTATTATTTATTATTTATTATATGTTAGTTATTTATTAGAGATATTGATAAACTACCTTTGGTATTGTTTTCAGAATTCAAATTACGAATCAGATGTGGCTTTCTTTGACGAATTTTCTGAAATAAAAAAAAAAATAATTATAAAAATGATTATAAAAAAATAATTATAACAATAATTGTAATATTTATAAAATTAAATCACCTTTTTACTATTATTTGAATTAGTTCGAGATTCTGTGTTGCTTCTTGTTGAAGTTTTTGATCCAATCGAAGAAGCACTATTTTTTCTATTTGACAAAATGCCAGAATTAGCATCTATTTTTCACATTAAATTGAATGAAATTTAATGAAATTAATGAAATAAGATAAAAATTAATATAATGATTAAGATAATGTGAGTTTTTAACTTTTAACAATAACAACAATAACAACAATAACAATAATAACGAAAACCAAAACTTTACCAAAAGCTGGAGAAGTGGGATATTTTTTATAAGCCCGTTCTTTATCCATACAAACAGGTAAATCATCAAATGCATCCAACTCAGTTCCATCACCATAATTCTGAGAATTATTTGGTTTAAGCATAATACGTAAAGTTTTAGAACCACAATTTTTTTGATTTTTTGAATTAGTCTTATTTACTGTTGACTTTACAGAAAGTGACATTGGAGCAGACTTTACACGAGAATGAGAGGGCTTAGAATTAATATTTAATGATTTTGAAGATTTTGAAGATTTTGAAGATTTTGAAGATGAGACAGTTGTTTGACAATGAGATTTTTTTTCAAAAGACATGGATGGTAATGAACGATTTGTTTTGACACTTGATAATGAAATTGAAGAAATGTTTGAATGTTTCGTTAAAGAAGAAGATCCAGAAGGTTTTGATTTTAATGAAGGAGATGAAGCCACTTTTGAAAGTCTTGTAGAATCTACAGATTTAGTTGTCGAAGAAGACTTGCCAGAAGTAACCGATTTTTTTGATTTTAAAGAAGGATTGAAATTTTCTTTAACACTACCAGTAACATTTGAGTTTGAAGTCTTTGAAGTTGACATAGTACGTGATTTTGAAGTTGTAGAACTCTTTGTAACAGATTTTGTACTAGATTTTGAAGAAACTTTTTCTTTAGAAGTTGATGAATTAAGACTTTTTGATAAAGTCACATTTGACTTGCACTTTTTCAAAGGAGGAGAAGAAGTTTTAGGAGATACGGTAGATGGACGTTTTGACATCACATTAGTATCTTTTTTTGAATGTGACACTATCTTATTTGGAGAAGGTGGAGGAGTTACAAAAGATGGATTACAATTCTTTTTTGGAGACTTTTTTGATAAAGAAGAAGGTGAAGATCGACTATTCCTCGAAATACTACTATTATTTGTAGAAGCCGAACTTTTCTCGGATGATAAAGAAGAATCTTTAGAATGAGATAAAACATCAGATAAATTTACATCAACATTCATATCAACATTCATATCAACATTCATATCAATATTCATATCAACATTCATAGAATCAGCAATTGGATCAGAAATTGGATTAGAAATTGAATTGGAAATTGAATTGGAAATTGAATTGGAAATTGAAGGAGGAGTAAATTCTATAGTAAAAGATTGTCGTCTTGGTCTTTTTTGTTGAGTAGGAACCGAACGAGGAACAATATTTTTGTGAACAGGTTCAAAAGCATTACCATCTTGAACATCTAATCCAGTCCAAAAATTATCATCATCATCATCATCATCGTATAATTTATAATCCATAGAATTGTCTTTAATAGTATCAGATTGAGAAAGAGGAGAATGTTGATATTCACGTCGAGGAGGAAATAAAGTAAGTCTTTCAATAGTATCAGGAATTTGTAAATCATCAAAACTTTCATCTTCACTTTCGAAATTACTAGAACTTGGAGCAGGACTAACAAGAATACTTAATCTTGAATCTAAAACACCCGAAAAAAGAGTAGTACCACCTTCAGAATCGAAAGCACCACTATCATCATCATCATCATCATCACCATAAACTTTTAAAGCATCAGTTGAAAGATTTAATTCATTCGTATCCAATAAATCAAAATCTTGATCAAAACTTTCGACAACTTTTTCCGAAGAAAGACGAGAAATAGTAATAGGATCATCAACTCTCTTAATTACAATATTAGAGGGTAATATATCATCGGGTATATTAGAGGGTATAGCAGAAGGGATATCAGAGGGTAGACTAGAGGTTGAGTGAAGAAAGTTATTTACATCCAGAAATTCATCATCCCAACTAACATAATTATTTCTGGAAGATTTAGAAGGAGGAATACAAAAGGATAAACCAGCCTCAGGTATTTCCATATCGTTATCCCAATCATCCATATCTACAACTTTTTTAGAATTTTCACCACCTAACTTTGTAATAGTTCCAGAGAAATCATTATTAGAGAAAGAATTTTTTAAATCACCGATAATAGCTTCAACAACTTTTAAGTCATCATCATGTTGACGGAGGAAATTTGAAGAATTTGAAGAAATAGAGGAATTTAAAATTGAAAATTGAATACCATCAAGGTTATTAACGAAATTGGAAACATCTAAGAGATGAGGATTTTTATTTTTTGAAGTGAATAAAGAATTTTGAACAAAAGCTACAGTAGATGGTAATATATTGTCAGTGTCATCATCAGAATCAACTATCGTTATACCTGACATATCATCAGTAGCAGTAGATAATATTTTACCGACATCATCATCATGAGCATCGGAGATATTATCGGATATTATCAAGCCCGAAGAAGGTATTTCAACATCATCCCAATTTTCCTCGTCAGATTCTATTTGAGCTAACGGAAAGTTTAAATTGGGCGTTGGAGGTATCATTTAATCTTTTAATCTTTTAATCTAGTAAAATCGATTATTTTTTGAAAAGAAGTAAAAAGAAGTATAAAAGAAGTAAAAAAAGAAGTATAAGTCAAAGAAATATAAGTGCCCTTTTTTTTTTTTAGAAAAGTAATGATAAAGAAAAATAAGAGAGTTTATATAATTCTCAATTTGTATTTGAGAGAACGATAGAACTTTTTATCTCTTGCTAAAAACAAAAAGAAGAAAAAAAGAAAAATCTAACAATAATTTTGTTCCCACCGTGATATCAATTTCTCTGATGATATTGTATATATTGTAGATATTGTAGATATTGTATTCGGAGATGAAATTATGCTAGTAGAATTTAGGAAGAAATGACGTAATGCAAATAAAATATTGTAATTGATTTTGTAAACAATTGTATTATTACTATGAATTAATGAATGTGGATGTTGTAGAAAGTGAGCGAAGGTAAATAAGAGAAAAATTATCAACTAGAATGTTTTTTTTTTTGAATAATTACTTTTGTTTTTTAAAAAAAAAAAAAAAAAAAAAGGTTAAAATTTTGTAACCATCGATGTTTTTATTTTAATTTTTTTTTTTTTTTGTTTTTTTTTTTTTTTTTTTATTTTTATTTTTGGCAAGACAAAATTTTAAAATGTATACAAATTCGGATAATTTATTTTCAATAAAAGTAATCGATTAAGATCCATCAGTCAACGACGCATGCTCGTATGCTCGTGCGAAAAGAGAGATTTTTAAGCATACGTTCAGGTCAAAAGAAGGATCGATAGAAGAAAGGTTATGTATTGTTATTTAATAAAGAATTTCAGAATGTCGGTATGATTGTGCGCAATTTTTCAGGGGAAGCCACGAGGGCTTACTTTATAAACTCCTTATTTATATTGAAAAAACAAATTGGCGGGAGATTTGAACAGAGATAGTGTGTTTTGTGATACATTGGATCACCTTTATGCATTGCTTTATATTACATACACAAAGCTTGTTTTTTATCTTTTTTGAAAAAAGATTATACGTAAACCCTCACGATGTACTCAAGATGTACTCACGATGACGATATCTTTATATTTTTAATAATGTGTTGCCCAATGCTCAAAAACAATAAATAAATCAAATACAAAAAAAGGTATAAAATTTCTATATATAAAAATATATTGACAAAGATTTCTTATTCAATAAGTAATTTATTCAACAAATAATCCGAGTTTTTTTTTTAAAATAGCGCATAGATGACGAGCATATATGCTATCGAGTACATGTAAATGCATCCGGATAATTAAAGTAGAACGAATAAGAATTTAAAAAAAGATTTTAAATGAAGAAATTACAACAATTATAGAAATTATTGAAATTATAGAAATTACAGAAATTACACGAAAAAAAACATCATATAAAAAACATCAATAATGATAATAATAATAATGGACAGTACATAAATTATTTGGAATCATTTTTTTTTAATAAAAGCCTTAAGACAATTACCATAGAGTCAAGCAAAACGCATGACTTGGAATAACATTCGATCATAAGAACGTTCTAATACAATTCTCAATAGTACAAAGTGACAATTTGTTTTTACAATGCATGTAATGATTTACCACTAAAAAAACTTTTATAGACTGACTTTGCTGAACAAGATTCCTAAATAAACATTTGCTAATTAACACATGCTTGGTCAGAGTGGTGTTACACGTAAGTACATTACGTACGTACGTTACATACTTACCGTTACAATCCATCCGTTACGAGTGTACAATACTGATACTTCAGTACTTCAGTACTTCAGTATCAGGTATGTATATACTTAGCGTTAGGGTACAAACAGTACGTACAATACTGATAACGTACGTACGTACGTACTTGTATCTTTATTGCCTATTACCATGAATATTGAAAGTAATAAATCTTTGTTGATTTGCATGAATAATTAGCTCAGAAATGAATTCAATTCGTTCGTTCATTTAATACTCCTTTAATACTCCTTTAATACTCCTTTATCTCGTTTTTTTTTTATATCGTTCATTATTTATATTCATCCATCATCATTCACTTTTTTTTCCTTAAATAGAAATGGGTTTTAAATGAATACTGTTTATTGTTGTTTATTGCTGTTTGTTCTGTATTGGGTCAACGCATTTAAAGAGGGGTGCATTTATAGAGAACGAACCAGTACGTGCACTTAGAGTGATTTATAAAGTCTGTACAATTTTACATTTAGAAACAATTTCGGTATTTTAAAAATTATATATAGCCCATGAGATATTCATAGATATTCATAGATATTCATATATGTATAATTTGGAGGGGATTTAAAGTTCTATGAACTTTGAACTGAGTTTAAAACTGAGTTAGTGTGCATTTAGAGAACATAAGTGCATACATTTAAAAAAGTTATAAATATCGATTTCTTCCTGCAAATCTTTTTTTACAAATCTTTTTTTAGCGCAATGTTTATGAATGTTTATGCTAATTCTCTAATTTAATCGTTAATACAACGTTTTTGTGACTGATTTGACGCTGTACGGTTTGAATAACCGTACAAATTTATCCATACCCGAATAATAAAAACAGTGTAAGCACAGGATTTATCACAATATACATGTGATTGTGTGATTGATGAGTAAAGATATTCTCGGTTTCCTATTAATTAAAGTATCGATCTCATTCTTGGACTTTCAGATTTTCGTAAATTTATGTTTCATATACTGGTCAATCTGTCCCAAATCAATTAATTTGATTATCATACAATATCTCCATATTCCTGATTTTCTTTATTTCCTTATACGTATTCCTTAATTTTCATTATATCCTCAATTTCCTTATATTCCTCAATTTCCTTATATTCCTCAATTCCTTTATATTCCTCAATTTTTTTTTATAAACGCTCATGATTTGATTTTGCTTCCTTTTATGAATCTCTATCGATCGTGTTAGAGTTTTTAATTTCTTTTTTCTCAAAGAACCAACCTTTTTAAAAAAAATATAATCTACTAAAAGTCTATTACTTACTTTATTATTAATATATAATAAAAGTCTATTACTTGTTTTTTTATAACTCATTAATAATAAATTATGGGTTCATACCAAACAACAAAGAAACATGAAAATGATCATTTTTGTTTTTGTATAGGGTTAAGATTTGGTTTCATAATTGCAACTTTAGCATGGATGGTAATTAATTCGATTTTATGCAGTTTATGCAACTTATACAATTTATGCAATTTATGCGCTAAAGCCGGATAAAATTTAAAATCAAGTGATCAGTTAATACCTCACCCATGACTATTTCCTTCAAAAGTGGCTTAACAATTTAATTATTACGAGCCCGATTAATATCCTTAGCTTTAGTGCATTTTTGTAAAATGTCTTCTCATCACGTGCTAAAGTTCTATATTATCATATTATCTAGATAGAGGGTTTGGTCATAACTGTTGCATTCTACTTTATTTGGACTACTGACAACAATGATATCATTGCCGATTATGATAATCATACTAATAATACTGGTAACTCTGGTAGGTCTAGTATAATATTCATTTTATTCCACTTAAAATTTATCCTAAAATCCTAAAATTATTAATTATACTTATTCTTTAATTCTTAGTATTTTTCAGACCAGTGACCATCCTCACTTTTTGTTATGGCATTTTGCTCACTTTGATGAGTGTGTTTGGTCTCGTTGCTTATTATGTATTCGTACGCATCTCTTTTTTTTCGTACATTAAGTCAAATATCACAAGCATATCGTAATCCCCTTTTTTTTTTCTTTTTTTTTTTTTTTTAGAGATCAACGTCACTCATGCAAAAATATATGTATGCCGCTTGGTTAATTGCGGTATTCATAAACACTGTAATAGTACTTATAACCATGATAACTTGCGCGATTTTCAATCGATCTGTTACCCCCGATTCTAAAGTTGCAAACACTTACATTGTTTGGATTGTAATAATGGCATTTATACAAATTGTTTTTCATGTAAATATATAGATATATATTTTTTCTCAACAATTTCCTATTTTTTTATCTAAATAATCTAATTAAACTATTGCTTTTTATTACAGATATACTTTGCAATGACACTTCTGTCATTTGTGAATCGTCAAAAAAGACTCGAGAGACGCCAAACTGCTGCTTCAAAACATTCATCAAAACATTCATCATTCAAGAAGCCTCAAAGACAACTATCCGTAAAAGTTGATAAATTTTATGATGTACCTGAAATATAATTTAGACGTACATATTTTATTATCCTTATTTTTTCATATTAGAAACTATATATGTAATGTAATTTTAAGGAATCTTCATTTATCACTATTCTCGATACTTCGTTTTTAAAAACACTCTCTGAATTAATTAATTACCTAAATTAATTAATAATCTATTAATTAATATTATCTTTTAAGTTTTGTTATATTCGAATAATTGTAATTGTCCGGAGCGTAGCGGAGGACAAGTAGCTTAGTGGTGGCGAAAAAGAGCGCAACCACGTGACCTTTGTCCAATAATATTGTAAGATCAGGTGTAACGTAGCACAAACAGGAAAATTCAAAACAAACGTTCGTTAAACCGTCTTTGGTGTCTTAATAAAATAATTTCTTGCAAAATTTTACATTTAATACGGTCTTTAAGCACCTTAGTGCTAAACAATACATACCTTAAAGAAAGATTTTATAATTTTAATACTTCGTTGTTTTGATTTTACATTACACCTGATCTTGTAATGTGATTGGACAAAAATCATGTGATTGCGCTCTCCCGTTCACCACCACTAAGTTACTATGCAAAGTGAAACAGAAGTTACGTTTTTGATGCTTCAAAGCATTGTTCCTAATGCATCTATAATAAAAATATCAAAAACTTTGAATTTTCTGTTTGTCTTTACTTGCATATTTGTGTAACACAACCAATCTCATGTGAGCTTCGAACTTATAATGGTTTCTGTTTCTTAGTCTGTCTGTCTGTCAACATTTAGCTATTTAATTAGCTACTTATTTTT